AATTCTCTGAATGTCCACATCAAACAAATCAGGGAGCAGAGCCGAGTGTTTTCAACTTTTCTAACATCTGGCTGTCGGGTTGGACTTTGGCTGACTTTGGCAGTGGTGATGCTTTTGAAACTTGTGGAGGAAGACTTGTTGAGGAGGAGAAAGGCATTAACCCGCTCGAACATTTCTCCTTCTGCAGAAACAATGTATCATTCAAGGTTCTACATAATATCCAACCTGCTGGCTTCGTCCTATATCCCGGGACAAGCCAAGAACAAAGCTGCGTTTCAGCTACCTCCTCTCTCCGCTTTATGGCCACGTTCGGGCAGCATGATATAAAAAGAAGAAAGAAAATATTGCTCAGTGTATTGGTAGAAGCAAGAGCTAGTTTTCTAGGTAATGAAATAGCTTAAAATAACATGTGGTAGGAATCACAGTTCATATATATTAAAAGACTTCAGCCTTTATGGGGAAACAGCTACAGGAACAAGAGACCATTAAAAGACCCAAGAAAGGTTTTGCCTACTGCAGTATAACTCAGACAAAAACTATTTTTTTAATGTGACTACAGGCAAAACAGAAGAGAAATGAAGAAAATGATATTAAATAATATTTTATACTCCATTGTTATGTAACACATTTTTGCTACCCTTCTGTCTCCCAGCTACACCATTAAATGAGTAACCACAGCCACAGCAAACCATGCGATAGCAATGGAGCTCAAAAGATTACGGGTCCCAGTACAGTCTGCCTACACAGTGATTTAAGCAGGTAGCAAACACATTCTAATGTGAATAAATTGAATGTGTATGTATAGCTTTGGAACCTCTATATGATTGCTATAAAAGAAATTAGTATTTTGTATCAGTAGAGAAATTGCCTTTGAGTGGTCATTTTTTACTTGGAGTGGTTGTGTCCAGGCAGCTGAAAGGGTACAAGGTCCTTGGAGATTATTAAGGGGCACAAATGGACACTGTAGGGACCTGTCTGAGGTCTCCCAGTATTTAGTATGGTGTGCCTGCATTTTGCTGTTGACTCGGAGTCTGTGGTTTTGTGGCTGGAGGCCTACCATTAAGTGATGCAGGTAACAGCCTAATTAAGGCCTACTAGGACCTTGGGGGCTCCATTCATCCTGTATGGTATATATTTGAAAACTGGTCAGTTATGATGGTCTGATCTAATTCTTTTGGGCCCTTAACTACTTCCTTTCCGCACTATAGCCGAATGATGGCTACAGCGCAATTGCCAAGTTCTGGGATGGCATCATATGACGTCCTTCCAGAACACGCCCCCCCCCCCCCCCGTGTGCCCCCAGCAGTACACACCCAGCGCTGTCTGTGATTGCTGTGTCGTTTGGATCACAGTGGCCTTTTACCACATGATCAGCTGTGTCCAATCACAGCTGACCACCATGTAAATACAATTGCCAGTTTTCGGCAGTACTTTCTTCACGCTGTCACAGCATGAGGAAAGTACTGCCGATAACCAGCAACTGTCAAAGTAGACATCTGCACTGAATATCATTGCAGCCCCAACAGTGCTGCCCAGCAGTGCCCAACAGTGCTAATGTCTGCTGCCCAGCAGTGCTACCAATCTGTGCCCGTCAGTGCCGCTAGTCAGTGCTGCCTCTTAGTGCCCATCAGTGCCGACTATTAGTGCCCATCAGTGCCGACTATTAGTGCCCATCATTGCCACCTATCAGTGCCATCAGTGCCGCATATCAGTGCCTCCTCATCAATGCCCACCAGTGCTGCCTCATCAGTGTAGCCTATCGGTCCCCATCAGTGGTGCCTATCAGTGCCGCCTCATCAGTGCCCATCAGTACTGCCTATAGGTGCAGCCTCATCAACGCACATCAGTGAAGCAGAAAAATTACCTGTTTGCTAATTTTTTTTATAGAAACACGAAAACCTTTTTTTTTTTTTTTTTTTTTTGCTCATTTTCATTTATGGTGCAAAAAATAAAAAAACTGTGGTGATTAAATACCACTCTATTTGTGTGAAAAAAAAATGATAAAAATTTCATATGGGTACAGTGTTGCAAGACTGCGTAATTATCATTCAAAGTGTGACAGCGCTGAAAGCTGAAAACTGGCCTGGGCAGGAAGGGAGTAAAAGTGCCCAGTAGGCAAGTGGTTAAAATGCCAGGAGTATACAAATACTAGTGACAGTATGTTTAAAAAAAATGGAAAAAAATAATTAAAATTACATTTAAAAACATTTTTTTTTTACTATTTTTTTTTTTTACATGATTGTGATTGGCTACAGCTAATCACATGGTACAGGCTGATGTGATTGGCCCAGGAACCATGTGATAGCTGTTGGACAATCACAGAGGAAGCACAGCTGTTATGATAATAATAATAATAGCTTTGCTGACATTGTGATCATGTAATCGCATAGTGATCACATGATCCCCAGGCTGCTCAAAGCAGCCAAGTTCCGGAAGCCGTACTCTGGACACAGTGGTCGCAGGAATGGCACACAGCATGCCCCCAACCCAGAGCAGACTGCAGCACGTATATGTACGTGATCCAGCCTGCCCATGCAGCCCACCCGCAGTAAATGTACTGTGGCCAGGTGGTAAGTGGTTAAAAAGGGACCAAATAGCTAATGCATAACAGAGGAAGAAATCATGTATACAGGATATCTTCACCCACCAAATGTAGAAGGGATTGTCCCTCATTAGCAGTACCTCATATTTTTTTAAACACAGTGGAAAATTTATAAATTTGCCTTCATTAGCCAGGCCTGGCAAAGAGCATTTTAGTGGAAAAGAGTTACTGACACGGTGAGGTAGAAATTGCTTTTTCTCTTTGAAATATGGAAAGTATAAAAACTGTTCAAAAACCACAAACTACCATATGAAGTCTGAAAATTTTTCTTTACACCAACAATAACTTTGTTTGAACTGGCTAACAAAATTATTTAACACACAATTTAAGGTTTGGAGCCAACAGCTCTATAAAAATATGAGTGTGTTACAATAAAGCACATATATAAATGTATTAGTGCTACACTTTGGGCAGATATAAAAGACTCAAATGAATGCAGCCCTGTAATTCATCGATGAATGATTCATACATTTGACTTGGAATCGGCATCTTGCAGTTCCTGTACAGCAGGGCTGGAATGTGAAAGGAAGAAACAGTGACAACGAGCCAATCAGTTCTTATGCTGACAAGAAGCATACTGTTAGAAGAAGAGAGCAAAGTGACAGAGAGATGTGCTCATAGCTTTATTGCTTCTCTTTTCACTGTCCAATTACAGGCTGGAGGCGGGTCCAGGAAAACCTGGGCTCTGAGAAAGTGCATTGAATGATGCTGACCGTCAGACTGAGGATATTTTGTGGCAGAAAAAAGTACTGTGGGAGAAATCTCTAATTTGAATTTGAATATTGCTGCATAATCTGGTTTTGTTATTTTAACTCCCCTGTCATTTCCTGCACACTGTTTTGTATGGCTCTGCATCGCAGAGCCATACAAAGCAGTGTGCTTACAGTTGAAAGCACACATGCAGCATACTGTGAAACAGCACACAGTTAACCCTTTGATCACCCCAGATGTTAACCCCTTCCTGCCCAGTGCCATTAGTACAGTGTCAATGCTTTTTATTAGCACTGATCACTGTATTGGTGCCACTGGAGATATCAGTGACACCAAGTCAGTTCCCCCCAGCGTCAGAAAACAGTCCCGCTATAAATTGCTGATCGCCACCATTACTATTTACACCCACAGGAGTTACCACTGAAAGAAAGCTCTATTTGTGGGGAAAAAAGGACATCAATTTCATTTGGGTGCAGCATTGTATGACCGCGCAATTGTGAGCTAAAGTAACACAGCGCTGTAATGCAAAAAATAGCCTGGTCAGGAAGGGGGGGAAATCCTCTGGAGGGCAAGTGGTCAAACATCGTTGTATAGTGGGAAAAATCAATTAAAGTGGTTGAAAACCTCTGAAATGAAAAATGAACAATGCATATCCTACTATAGTGTATACTTGCCTCAATCCAAATCACCTACTGTGATTTCTGTCTGCTCTTTCATTCCTCTGCTATCTGCATGAGTCACTTCTGACAGTCTAAGGAAATCTCGAGAGATGGCCCTGCCCCTCCGGCACAGAGCAGGTAGTTGACAGCTTCAGATGTGCATGTTTCCCTATGAGACTGTAGAGGGGAATGTGTCCTTTCCCTCCACTCAAATTTCAGATTACACTCAGTTCCCTGCTCTCTGCTGTGCAGTGTGTGACATCAGATCCCCACCCCCTGCCTCTGAAAGCTCAAAAATGCTGTGTAAATTCTGTATTTTGAAAAGCTGTAGAGCCAAGAGGGCTGCAGATAAACAGATATAACATATTTAGGAGGATTTGTTTCATCTCTGTGTATCACCTGAGGCCAGTCACTTCACTGGGTATTGTAATGGATGTGCGCATTAGGCACATGAAAGCTGTGGCATCCATCTTGTTCAGGTGTCAGCCATTTTTGGAATGAGAAGAGGCATAGCCCAGTGATCTTACCCCCTTCCTCCTCCTGCAATCCATTGCCTTAACTTTTAACACACTTCAAAAGAGCCTGTTATCTCAACTCAGGGACAGCCTTTGGAAAAGCTGTAAACAGCTAATTGAAGTCCTGGCAGGATGTCTGTTAGTTTATACTGACCATTAAAAAAATCTGCACATTAACACTTCTCTCTGATCTATCGTAAAACTATGACAAAATTCTTCAGTTCTGTCACCCATGGTTTGCAGGGCAATTAAAGCACCAGGAATACATAGTGTGCCACAAAATGGGGATTGTAAAGCAGTCAGGCTTGCAGAGACAGTTTGTAGAACCCCTGCCTGCCCAACTCAACATTTGAAAACTATACACAATTCATAAAATCAGACAGGACCAAGACACACCAATATTAAGTATATACACTATATTGCCAAAAGTATTGGGCCAGCCATCCAAATCATTGTATTCAGGTGGTCCAATCACCTCCATGGCCACAGATGTATAAAATCAAGCACCTAGGCATGCAGACTGCTTCTACTAACATTTGTGAAAGAATGGATCACTCTCAGGAGCTCAGTGAATTCAAGCGTGGTACCGTGATAGGTTGCCACCTGTGCAACAAGTCCATCCGTGACATTTCCTTGCTACTAAATATTCCACGGTCAACTGTTAGTGGTATTATAACAAAGTGGAAGCAACTGCAAACAACAGTAACTCAGCCACAGAGTGGTAGGCCACGTAAAATGACAGAGCGGGGTCAGCGCATGCTGAAGCGTACAGTGCGCGGAAGTCGCCAACTGTCTACCGTGTCAATAGCTAAAGACCTCCAAACTTCATGTGGCCTTCAGATTAGCACAACAGCAGTGCATAGAGAGCTTCATGGAATGGGTTTCCATGGCCGAACAGCTGCATCCAAGCCTTACATCACCAAGTGCAATGCAAAGAGTTGGATGCAGTGGTGTAAAGCACGCTGCCACTGGACTGCAGCGCAGTGGAGACGTGTTCTCTGGAGTGATGAATCACGCTTCTCTATTTGGCAATCCCATAAACGTGTCTGGGTTTGGCGGTTGCCAGGAGAACGGTACTTGCCTGAGTGCATTGTGTCAAGTATAAAGTTTGGTGGAGGGGGGATTATGGTGTGGGGTTGTTATTCAGGGGTTGGGCTTGGCCCCTTAGTTCCAGTGAAAGGAACTCTTAGGGCATCAGCATACCAAGACATTTTGGACAATTTCAAGCTCCCAACTTTGTGGGAACAGTTTGGGGATGGCCCCTTCCCTTCCTGTTCCAACATGACTGCGCACCAGTACACAAAGCAAGGTCCATGAAGACATGGATGAGCGAGTTTGGGGTGGATGAACTTGATTGACCTGCAAAAAGTCCTGACCTCAACCTGAAAGAACACCTTTGGGATGAATAAGAGCGGAGACTGAGAGACAGGCCTTCTCGTCAGACATCAGTGCATGACCTCACAAATGTGTTTTTGGAAGAATGGTCAAACCTTCCCATAAACACACTCCTAAATCTTGTGGACAGCCAGAGTTGAAGCTGTTATAGCTGCAAAGGGTGTGCCAACGCACTACTGAATCCTGAGGACTAAGACTATGATGCTATTAAAGTTCATGTGCGTGTAAAGGCAGGCGTCCCAATACTTTTGGCAATATAGTGTATTTGAATGGGGAATATCATACCGAACAAATCGAGATCATACATGGCTAAGCTATAGTATACAGAAGGTTAGATAGCAGTCAGATAGCTCCCCAGTGACAGGCCCATCGGAAATACTCTGTGTTTGGTATCCCAGGACAAAAAATATAATGCTGAACAATAATCTACCAGTTTCCAGAATACAAGCTGTACATAGTGGAAGATATTAGTATAAAACTGTGTGTAAGGGAGGGGCACGATACAGTCATAAACACGGTGACAACCCCATGGCCACTCCTCAGCTACTTAATTGGTCAGAAGGTCTCTGATAACACCCCCCTGATACCAGAGAAAAAAAGTCTGCTCCAAAAGTTGACAGCTCTCATTTTAACATCAACCAAAGAACACCTAACCAAACTTGAGAGAGCCACTGTACCGTCTTTACTTGATCAATTGGACTGTGCTAAAACCAAGGAATCTGCAAGTATTCTTCATTGTAAATGACTTTTTATTTATCTGTTGCTTTATTGTCTCTTTGTCTCCTTGTAACAACCTTTTATCTGTAAATATTCTATTTGCACCATTTTGTCCTTTTTCATTATCAAAAAAGTATTTGGATACATGTTGAAATTGTCTCTAAAGATTTTAATGCAAACTAAAAGAATCTATGTCTGTTGAAGAAGTGCTACTGCAGTATACATCTCTGAACATACCTGTCTGTGGTGACGGTGCGAGTTACAGACATTTATTTGAAAATCATAATCGTTATTGCTAAGATCGTGACTTTCCTCCTTCTCAGCATTTAAATATTGTAGCTGCTGACTTTTAAAATACAGCCACTAACTGTCCCTCAGTCCAGCGGTGTCCTCACAACCGCTGGTTTCACCGGCAGTCTTCTTTCCCTGATGCCAGCATCTTCAGTGTGGGCACCTGGCTGTGACAGCTTGCGGCTTCACAGCCGAGTGCCCACTGTGCATGTGCGAGAAGCACTGAGCTTTGTGAATGGGCCATAGTCTTCTGGGATCTGTCACATGTCCCAGAAGACTACGGGGAGGGAGGGGAGGAGGACGACTTCTGCTTCTGATTGCCTAGGTGATTGCAGCGGAAATGGGAGTGGGTACCTGTCAAATTCGGTTACCCCCTCCCCTCCCCTCCCCAAAAACCCAAAGGTGCCAATCTTTAATGGGGAGCGGGGGACAAAGGCTTAAAGCGGAACTTCCCCTTTTGGGTGTAGCTCTGCTTTAACGTAACCCAATCACAATCGCTCTCAGGCTACTGGCACCTAGATTGTGGTCTTGCAAGCTGGAAAATCTTTGTGAAGGTTGCAGCTGAGATTGGCATCGTTACCTAAGTGATAGCATGATGTGAGATTGGCCAGTCCTTTGTCACGAGTTGATGAGAAGGGCAGGGATTGGGCACCACATTCATCACAGGTATATGGAAGGGTTTACAACCATTGTGTAGAACTAGAAAGCAGGAAGCAGAGCCTGCATATGTAATGAAAAATTTGGTGGCTCCCTATATACATATAAATGACATAATATACGCAGTCACAAAGTTTTTCCTTGGCTAATAGTTGTGGTTTCCTTACTTCCAAGAATTTTTATTACATAATGCCAGTAAATGTGGTAATATTCTCTTTGGGGTGAAAATATCAAAAGGATTTTTGTTTTTATTCACTTATTCTAATTACATTTCAAACATCTTTTATTCTCTTCCCTTTGGTTCCAGAACTGAACAATTTCCATGTATGTATGAAAGAAAAGAAAAAAAAAATGTTACTGAGATTGCCATGGTACATAATTAAGAACAGACCAGTTCCAGGAGCAATTTTCTCCCCAAAATCATTGAAAGGAAAGATTGGACAGGAAGCGTGTACCAGGTTTTTGAAGTGAAGAAGGAAAGAAAAAGGTATTTTGGTCTAACCTAGTCCTCTGTCAGACTGAGAGTCAATTTCTGTGTCATCGCATTCTCTGTGATCTATTATAAGTGTAGAATACTAATTGCCGCTAATGTAAGCTTTGCTAATGAAGGGACATAATATGCATGGCCATGTTAATAAACGGACAATGTAACTTCATGGGTTAAAACATATTATATAATTCCCTGTCGTGTGAAATCAAAGAGTTTTTTATTTCATTCGGGCTGCTACAGCATAAATTTATATTACTGAATTCCTGACTACCCTATTCTCAGTCCTTTTGTTTGAAGTGTTTGATCACAAGACAGGACTGAAATGGTGCACATCAAGGCGTTAGTCATGTGGTGATGGTAAAATTAGTTTTCTAAAAAGAAAATGAGTTATGTGAGCTCCAAAATAATCCTAGGACAATGGATGGTTTTTTATAAAGAGAACATATAAAGGAATGGTGACATTTCTTGCAATATGAGGTCAATCAAAATGAAGTTACAAAATAAAGTCTAGAGCATCCTCTGTCGACCAGGGCTCTGTGGAACCCCAAGGATCCTTCCGAAGTTACTAAGGGTTCCTTGAGTAATTAACAATTTCTACCACTTGTATACATAACCACAGACACCTGTCTCTGTAAGGGAGACATTTCTTCTAATGACCTCCAATGTAAGAAGCATTCTTCCCACTGACCACCACACTAATGTACCATAAGCTGTAGATATAGACATTATTGGCAACGGTTCCCTGAAACCTGAACGTTATATCAAGGGTTCCTCCAATGTAAGGAGTATTCTTCCCACTGACCACCACACTAATGTACCATAAGCTGTAGATATAGACATTATTGGTAACAGTTCCCTGAAACCTGAAAGTTATATCAAGGGTTCCTCCAATGTAAGGAGCATTCTTCTCACTGACCACCACACTAATGTACCATAAGCTGTAGATATAGACATTATTGGCAACGGTTCCCTGAAACCTGAAATTTGCATCAAGAGTTTCTCCAATGTAAGGAGCATTCTTCCTACTGACCACCACACTAATGTACCATAAGCTATAGATATAGACATTATTGGCACCGGTTCCCTGAAACCTGAAAGTTATATCAAGGGTTCCTCCAATGTAAGGAGCATTCTTCCCACTGACCACCACACTAATGTACCATAAGCTGTAGATAAAGACATTATTGGCAACGGTTCCCTAAAACCTGAAAGTTATATCAAGGGTTCCTCTAATGTAAGGAGCATTCTTCCCACTGACCACCACACTAATGTACCATAAGCTGTAGATATAGACATTATTGGCAACGGTTCCCTAAAACCTGAAAGTTATATCAAGGGTTCCTCTAATGTAAGGAGCATTCTTCCCACTGACCACCACACTAAGGCTTCATGTACACGAGAAGCTCCTAAACTTGAGTTTAGGAGCTTTTAGCATTTTTTTGCCAAAGCTCCTAAACTCCACTCCATAAAAGCCTATGTGTCCATGTACACATAGGAGATTTACTAAAACTGGTTCACTCAGAATCTGGTGCAGCTGCGCATGATAACCAAGCTTTGGTAATGAAACCTGGAAGTTGATTGGTTTCTATGCAGAAGTGCACCACATTTTGAACTCTCCAGCTTTAGTAAATAAACCCCATAGGCTTTTAGCAGAGTTTAGGAGCTACTGTGTTTAGGTGAAGTTAAACCTCCCTCTCCTGAACACAGAAAAATCAGGACAGGAACAATTTGACCGCCGACCATGGGAAAATGTACAACACATTTGTCAGGGTAGGCTCGTGTACATGAAGCCTAAAATCCTTGTAGACCTCAGACATGAAATCTGAAAAATGCACATATTTCTATAGTGTTTACTTATCTCTCTCCAAAGAATTAAGTGGTAGTGGTGCACCGAAATGAAAATTCTTCACCGAAACGGAAACTGAAAATTCAGGATGCATTTTTGCAAAAACAAAACCAGACAGTTTTTTTTATTTTTTTTATTTTTTAAATATATTTTTTAATATATGATTGTATTATATTGGACTAATATCATGAATTTAAAGGAATATGAATTTATTTTCAATAGCTTTTCGGCCAATAGGCTGCTTTCAACACAGTTTTTGAAGCGGTTTTGCGGTACAAAAAAAGGCGCAAGAAAAGCTCAAGAAAAATGCATCCCTTTAAATTCAATGTATGTCTTCACACTGGTCCATTGCGCTTCCCTTGTGGTATTAAAAATCCTGCTTGCCACATTTTTAGTGCTTATTTGGGAAGTTATAAAAAAGAAAACACACCAAAAAATGCACCTCTCCATTGAGGGCTGGTTCACACCAATGCATTTTTTAGCACTTTTTGCAGAAATGCATTACAGTCCATTTAATATGGTTTCCTATGGGAAACTTTCACATCTATGCTTTTTTGAGCTGCTGCATTTTTTTAAATGGTCAGGGACTTTTGTAAACACAAAACGTATTTTTTGGTTCAATAGACTTCAATGTAGATGCTGCAGAAAACACATGCAGTGTGTTTTTGATGCGTTTTTCAAGCGTTTTGTTCTTTTTAATCTGCTCAGCAACAAGTTGACCAAAAAAAAAAATTTTTTAAAAAAAGCATCAAAAAACGCGTCATAAGCGTGCATGCAAAAACACAAAAAGCTCTGCAAAATGGACAAAATGCAAACTGCATGGGTGTGAGCCAGGCCTGAAATACACTGGAAACGCAGCAAAAACACATAAAAATGCACGTGTTGCATTTTTGATGCATTTTGCATTTTTAATCTGCCCAGCAACAAGTTGTCGAAAACACTATTTTCGGCCTCCGATATATCGGTGCATCACTACTAAGTAGCATTTCTCTCTGCTGCCTCGTGTTCTGTTATCAGCATAAGTCACTTCGGACAAGTGTTCCTGACACCAAGAAAAAAAAGGTGACAAGGAAGTGACCTCCAGCACACAACCCATGATTGAGAGCCTCAACTCTGTGCGTGTATGGTGGGTCACCTCTCTCCAATCAGTTCTCAGGGCTCTTGGAACAGTAATTGCAGTCCCCCCCCCCCCCCCACTCTGTGAGTCTGTGGCTGTACAGGATAAATGTGTCGAGCTTACCCCTTGCAGGTGGTCAGACATTAAAGCTGACTTCTGTATTCTTCACCTATCGCAGCCCCCTTTCCCATAAGGCAAGCAGGCTTACTAAAGTGCCTGGTTACCATGCTGGGACAGTTGCTAACTTTGCACAGCAAACAGATATGTGCAGTTGGTAGACAGGTGGTGTCGTTCAATGACAGTCTAGGTACACGGCAGGCAAGGTTCAGAATATTTAGGGTCAAATATGTAGTTAAAAAGGCAGGCAGAGTTCACGGAATAGTCCACATTCCTGCTGTGTGAGTCTGTGCAAAATCCTTTTCATATCTGAGTTTTACAAGGGTGTACAGGACAAATGTGTCACGCTAACGCCTAGTGCAGGTGGTCAGGAACTATAGCTGGCTTCTGTGCTCTTCACTTATAGAAGCCCCCTTTTCCGTAAGGCAAACAGGCCTACCGGACCTTGGTTGCCCCCAGGTCTTATACACAATGTTACAGTGCCTGGCTACCACACTGGAGCAGGTGCCAACTTAGCACAGCAAACTGGTACTTGCGGTTGGTAGACAGGCACAGTGGTTCAGTGACAGTCCAGGTACAAGGCAGGCAAGGTGCAGAACAGTCAGGGTCCAATCCATATTTAACCACTTGCCCTCCAGAGGATTTACTCCCCCCTACCCCTTCCTGACCAAGTCATTTTTTGCGTTACGGCGCTGCGTTACTTTAACTCACAATTGCGCGGTCATGCAACGCTGCACCCAAATGAAATTTATGTCCCTTTTTCCCCCACAAACAGAACTTTCTGTCGGTGGTAACGCCTGTGGGTTTTTTGTTTTTTTGCGCTATAAACAAAAATGACCGACAATTTTGAGGAAAAAAACAATATTTTTGACTTTTTGCTATTAAATATGTCCAGTAAAAATGTTTTAAAAATCAAATGTCGTTATAAATTTAGGCCAAAATGTATTCTGCGACATGTCTTTGCTAAAAAAAAATTCAATATGTGTAAATTAATTGGTTTACGCGAAAGTTATAGCGTTTACAAATGGAGGTATATATACTGGAATTTTTTTTTGTACTAGTAATGGCGGCGATCAGCTACTTATAGTAGGACTGCGGCGGGCATTCTGACACTGGGGGGAACTGACTTGGTGTCACTGACATCCCCAGTGGCACCAATACAGTGAGCAGTGACACTTTATTAAGGGCAATGGGCAGGAAAGGGTTAACATGAGGGGCGATCAAAGGGTTAACTGTGTGATGTGTGCTATTTCATTGTAAGTTGTGTCTGTGTGCTTCACTGTAAGCACACTGCTTTGGATGGCTGTGCTGTGCACAGCCATCCAAAGCAGTATGCACGAGCTGACAGGGAGAATTGTTTTGTTTACAAACAGTTCTCCCCCCAGTTGGAGATGCTCGGCAATCACTGGGCTCCGGCACGTAATCACCAGCTGGGACCCGGTGAGTAACAGCTGCAGCCGCGAATGGCAGCATGAGTAGGGCGCGCGCATGCCTCACACGCACCCCCTATCCAGGAATGCAAAATCACATATATATACGGGAAGCGGTTAAAAAGGCAGGCAGGGTTCAGAGAATAGTCTAAGTTCCAATCCAAGGCCATAAACAGGGGAATCCAAACAGCAGTACAGGGCAGACAAACATGGAGCTTGGAGCAGGTGGCATTTATATTGAAATTATGACTGACCTTGCCAAAAAACTGTCTTTTATTTAAGGATAGTGATCATGTGAAGCCATTTATTGTTTGATTCCTTTTTAAATCATAATAACAGAAATCACACAAACGGCCCTGATCCCTGGAATAGTTGTCCTTGGTACAGACACACACGGGTTAAAATGGCAATAAAGGTTAATTTACCACATCTGTGGCTTTTTAAATTGCAGTTAGCATCTGTGTATAAATAGTCAAGGAGCTTGTTAGCTCTCAAGTGTATGCACTGAGCAGGCTAGATACTGAGCCATGGGGAGTAGAAAAGAACTGTTAAAAGACCTGCATAACAAGGTAATGGGACTTTATAAAGATAGAAAAGGATTTTAAAAGATATCCAAAGCCTTGAATATGCCAGTCAGTACTGTTCAATTACTTATTAAGAAATGGAAAACTCAAGGATCTCTTCCTACCAAGCCAAGGTCAGGTAGATCAAGAAAGATTGCAGCCACAACTACCAGAAGAATTGTTCAGGATACAAAGAAAAACCCACAGGTAACCTCAGGTGAAATACAGGCTGCTCTGGAAAAAGATGGTGTGCTTGTTTCAAGAAGCACAATACAACAATACTTGAACAAAAATTAGCTGTATGGTCACGTTTCCAGAAACAAGTCTTTACTGCACCAATGCCAAAAAAAGCCCGGTTACAATATGCCCAACAACACCTTGACATGCCTCACAGCTTCTGCCACACTGTAATCTGGAGTGACAAGACCAAAATATAGTTTACAACCAAAAGTTCTATGTTTGGAGAGGGGTAAACGAAGGCTATAGCGACAACAATACTGCCCCCACTGTAAAGCATGGTGGTGGCTCACTCATGTTGGGGGTGTGGGAGCTCTAAAGGCATGGGGAATCTTGTGAAAATTGATGGCAAGATAAATGCAATATGTTATCAGAAAATAATGGCAGACAATTTGCATTCTTCTGCATGAAAGCTGTGCATGGGATGCTCTTGGATTTTCCAGCAATGACAATGACCCTAAGCATAAGACCAAGTTGACCCCTCCAGTGGTTGCAGCAGAGAGAGGTGAAGGTTTTGGAGTGGCCATCACAGTCTCCTGACATTAATATCATCGAGCCACTCTGGGGAGATATCAAATGTGTAGTTCATGCAAGACGAGCAAAGACTTTGCATGACCTGGAGGCATTTTGCCAAGATGAATGGAAAGCTTTACCTCCTGCAAGAATTCGGGGCCTTATAGACAACTATAACATAAGACTGTCATTCATGCTAAAGTGGGCAATACACAGTATTAAGAACTAAGGGCATGAAGACTTTTGCACAGGGGTCACTTCATTTGTTTACTTTTTGCCATATTTTGTTTGATTGTGCCATTCTATTATGACCTACAGTTGAACATGAATCCCATAAGAAATAAAAGAAATGTGTTTTGTCTGCTCGCTCATGTTTACTTTAAAAATGGAACATAATATTACCAATTCTCCAAGGGTATGCAAACTTTTGAGTACAACTGTATATTAAAATCTGCATAAGACGCAATAATGCTAACTTATTATTTGGGCTAGTAATTGACTTGCAATACAAAACCTGTTGAGTTTAAATAACCACAGCTTACCAAACTGAGCTACACCCCAGGGCCGAACTGCATGACTTAGGTTGAATTCTTTCAAATGGGTGTTTGGCTTAATTACATTAACTGTGTATTTCCAGTTTACAAGAGAAATGACAAGAGATCTTCAGAGCTCTGTGAAAGAAATTTTGACTTTTCATGCAAAGACACTATTGCACAATGTGAAAATGCTGAGTGCGATTCACCCCAGGTCTTATGGTGTGCTCAATAATTCACATGCCATTCATTCACACAACCAAGAATGTTGGTATACATCCCATAGGCAATGCTAAAAATGTTTATCTAGACTCCACTGACAAGAACCTCCAGGGGTTTTTTTTATCTTTGACATTTTTTTTTTATCTTTGACATCATTTTGCACTGTAAAAACAGAATTATCTGTTAAGGGGAAATATACATTTAGTTATAAGAATTACTTTCACTTTTAATATGATATTGAGTTAATTGTAAAGCCACAGATGCTTTTTTATATATATATATTTATATATAAATAAATATATTATATATTATAAATAATATATATATTATATTAAGATTTATTTATATTAATAATATTTATTTAATCATATTTATTTATTTAATTATTATTTTTTTAAGTAAGTGTTGCAGCCTGATCACTGAAGAGAGAAGACTGAGTTTCTTCCTGCCTGCAGCAAACTGATGACATCATCTAAGCCTAGGCAAAGTTACTGGACTAGAGCTCAAGGAAGACTTTTTAACAACAACAAAAAAAAACAGCTACAAACAACTTTTGTTGAAAAATGATGTTGCGGCAGTAGGGCTGGGACAAGGGAAGAACAGGAGGGGCAGCTGCTCTGAGCACAGCGGTTTACTGAATGGATGGGGGCGCCAGTGAGCTCATTCTGATACAAGGCATTTTAGCAAGTGGATGATTGCTGGGGGGGGGGCAGCATCCCCTAAGCTTGCACATAATGAAGCATGGGGGGGAGGATAATTTATTGCTGCTAATTTGAGAAGCTGTGAACAACATCTGTCCATCCGTGGTGTTAAAGTGGAACTAACCCCTCCTATAAGAAGCTTCAATCTTAGCCTCTGTTTGATCTGCAGTTGCCATGGTGCTGCGCATGTGATCATTTATGATACCAGACACCTGTCAGTTTTTATTGCTGTCTGGGTCCCCCATTATGGAGATTCACCCTCTCCATTTGTCCTGCTTACTGTTATCATGGAGAATGAAACTGATTGGTTTTGGGTTGTCCCCAGAACTGCAAGATTAAATATTCCAATGGGGACACTAGTTCTGGTGACACCCCGAGATTCCCTCATTTTGCAGGGATTTTCTTCTTCCTTCCTGTTTTGGCTATAGGGCAGAAAGTGAAGGAAAATCTCCCCAACTAGACACAGATGGAAAAAAAAAACTGATGGAGTTATAACCCTCCCTTACTTTATCCAAAATGAAAAACAAATACTGTATTGAGTTCTACTTTAACTGGTTCCCACCTGACCAAGGGCAGATTGATGGCTGGGCGGAACTTTTGTCAATAAGGTGGACGTCCCTTCCGTCACACTGCTCGTGCGCACCCCCAGACACAGCGCATCAATAATTAGGGTAAAAAGCCACTGACATTGGCTATTTGCCATGTGATCAGCTGTGTCCAATCACAGCTAATCACATGTACACATATGCCAGTTATCGTCATTTCCTTTCCTCAGCACTGTCACTGTCTGAGGAAAGGAAAGCCGATAACCGTCTTTCCTGTGACAGAGGACATTTACATTCATCAGCTTATTGATTATCAGTACCAATCAGTGTCCATCAATGCAACATATCAGTGCCCACCAGTGCAGCATATCAATGCCCATCAGTGTCAGCTATCAGTGCCCATCTGTGCAGCCTCATCAGTGCCTCTTCATCAGTGCCCAGCAGTGCAGCTCACCAGTACTCATCAATGATGCCTCATCAGTGGCCATCACTGCAGCCTCATCAGTGCCCATCACTGCAACCTATTACTGCCCATCAGTGCAGCCATATCAACGCACATCAGTGAAGAAGAAAATTTACTTATATGCAAATTTGTATAACAGAAACTATGAAAAAGGGTTTTTTTTCACAATTTTTGGTCATGTTTTGTTTGTTTAGCAAAAAATAAGACACCCAGTGGTTATTAAATACCAAAAGAAAGCTCTATCTGTCTCAAAAAAATAATAAAAATGTAATTTGGGTACAGTGTTGCTTAACTGCGCATTTGTCATTCAAAGAGCGACAACACTGCAAGCTGGGCAGGAAGGCCCGGTACTTAAGTGGTTAAGACAAATAACAATTAAATTTTCTTTAAATGCTTTTTATTAACGACAACTGAAATAAATCTCATAATTTCAGCTAAATTTTCTCTGGAAACTGCTGTAATTTGTTCCTTATAAATCATCTTTAATCTTTCATGTTTTTTATGGTCTTTACCTTGGCCCAGAGACGGCCTTTAATGTATTTTTTACATAGGAGTAGCTCAGTCTTTTTTTTACATTAACCTTTCATAATCCTCTGAAGAGCAAGGATCATATAATAATGCCTAGGAAAGTTCCATGGCCAATGCAACCTCGAGGTCCCGGAACATTTTTCTGCATTAGAGAGTTATCAATCTATCCCTCAGGCATAATGAAGCAGGATGGGGCTGCAGCAGTCGATTAGGGGGCTCTATCTCCAGCGGGCCCCCCTCTGCAAAAAAAAATTAGAATTAGTGCAGAATGTGTTGAGAGGGGAGAAGAAACTGTAAGATGAAGAGTCATGGGAGGAGTGAAAGAAAAATTGACACATCCCACAGCATTGTCTGCACTGTGGACATCTTGACACTGCCCTGCTACACGTCTGCTAAAGCACAGCTAACCATTGACTTCTAACAGGCCCTGCAGGTTTGGTGCTTTTTCAGAAAGCGCATCAAAAATCCTGCATGCTGCACCTTTGGTGCACTTTCTGAAACCGCATGAAAATAGTGGGACATCCTAGAAGTCCATGGGAAAGCACAGCTAACCCCCACAAAACCTGTGAGTTAGTTGAGTTTTGGGCAAAATCGCAGTGAAGCCACATTTAGGCTGCTTTTACACTGGAAAAACGCACCTCCCCATTGAGATGAATGAAAATGCATTA